AAAAAAAAAAAAAAAACTTAAGTTTTCTTTTTTAACCCTGATTAAATTTCTAAATGTTCTTATATTTAAAACATAAATCTTAACTAAATAATGTGAGGTTCATGCTTTGACTAGAAAAAGTATTTGCTAATGGGATAAGACTCACTGTCTTCTATGAAGCATGAAAATAAGAAACAATGAATAGGGACTGAAGCTTTCAAGCTTCAAAGATGAGGCAAAAGCTCTAGAAATGTATCATGAAAAATGTATATTTCATTCCAGGAGATCTGGGACAGATGTAAAGATCTACTTTAATGAATAAAAACTTTAGTCTGTTCCCATGAAATTACTTTTAATTGAGATATAATACAAAAGTTCTATGGAACGCTGTTTCTGATAGGTTTTTTTTTTTTTTTTTTGGAGCTTGATCACACCAGTTGTCATCTTTCATTATACTGAAAAGCTTGGCCTGGATATTCTTTCAAAATAAATAAATAAAATAACTTTGTTTTCCACATAAAATAATACTATCCTTTTTTTCCAAGATATTTCTTACTGTATGCTGTTTTGATTTCCAAGTAAATTGTTATTTATATTGATTTTTGATATAATATTTGTTTGGATATGGGTTTATTTTTGTATAATAAATGAATGAATTAATGTTTCTATCTTTGTCCTGTGTGCTCCTGTAGATGTTGAGCAGTAAGAAAGGTTTACTGCCTGAACCCAGTCTGGCCCAATTCTTCAACAGTATGACCAATCCTGCTGCTCTCCAAGTCCTAATGAGACCCTACCCTACCGCCAAACGTGGAGGTAACGCTCTCTCTCTCTCTGTGCCTCTCTTTACTCAAAGTGTCTTTTTACTTATTAGGAAAATAATTTATTGAGTATTCATGAGTAATATGTTTAAGTACTTTTCCAGAAAACCAAAAATGTGTCCTGCGAAGATTGTAGATTTTGAGATGAAATATCATGCTCATGCTTCTGCATATGTGTGAGTGTGTTGGCTGTGTAATGGTGATCACTGGCGCTGTAGATTCTGAGCAGATTTTTCTCTTGATGAAAGCCTAATCATATATTAAAATGAACTTTTCATTGGGTGAGAGAATAAATGAGCTGAGGAAGAAGTGGAGGCTGGAGCTTAAACAGAACACACAATTACAACACTAAATATAGCACATGATTAAATGTTAAACTTCTCTACCTATTTCGGAGCAACTTGCCATTAGTGCTGATGCTGGAATTTTGGAATGACAAAATCATGAGCCACCAAAATCAACCACATACTTTCTGCTGTCCATCTCTCTTATTTTGAGGGCTTGTCTTTATTTGTTTCCTTCACATTGTTTACTCTCCTATGTTGACCACTCATTTCATTCATCTAATGGTTTCCCACCAGGAAAGTTCGGTCGACCTCACAATCTTCCTTTCCTGCGTCCACCATTGACTGCAGCGCTGCTACAGTTAGGAAAAGCACAGCAGGTACTCATTTTCTCTTTCTGCCACTCATAAGACTGACTTAAAGGGACGGTTCACCCAAACATTAAAATTCTGGCATCATTTACTCACCCTCAAGCTGTTACAAACCTGTATGAACATATTTTAGCCGTTGAGCACAAAAGAAGATATTTTGAAGCATGTTGGTAACCAAACAGTTGACGGTAGCCATTAACTCCATAGTATGGAAAAAAATACTATAGAAGTCAATGGCTTTCATCAACTGTTTAGTTACCAACATGCTTCAAAACATCTTTTTTTGTGTTCAGCAGAAGGAAACTCATACAGGTTTTGAACAAGTGGAGCGTGAGTAAATGAAGACAGAATTTTAATTTTTGGGTGAACTGTCCTTTTAAGGAAGCTTAATTTCTAAAAGTTCACAAAGCCAAATGTGCTCATAGTTAAAGAAACACCCTAGAGAAATAATGTAGATGCTGCATTAATGGATAAAAAAGGCTATAGTACAGCAAAAAAATAACATTTTAGAGGGAATTTTGTTATAGAATAGGCTGCTACCTCAGACATAAATAGAAAAGAATAAGGATGCATGTTTAACAGTCTCTCTTTCTCTTATACAGAGTGCCATTCTAGGAAATGGTCTTGTTCTCCAGAATCTTCTTCACATGCAGATGGCCCAGCAACAGCTCTTACAGATCAAAGACAAGCAGATCACTAATGTGAGGGTCTGTGTGTGTGTGTTCACTTGTCTCAAACATACCCATAACAAAGAAATACATCGCCACTTTACTCTTACCTGCAAACACTGCATAATATTCAACAACAGCCTGAAATTGTGTTCGTAGTTCTTTTTGCGAGGATATTATTGGTCTGCAATAAATTCTGTTGCATGTTTTGCTCAGAAAAGCATTATTTATTTTATATAGCAGTATTAGAAGCATACATCTAACTGGCATTTTTAATGCAAATTTGAGGTTCTGGTTGAAGAATAATAATGCTATCCACAGGGAAATTTCTGAGGAAAAACAGAGGAATTTGTGCAATAATAACGCTAACATAAATCTTCTTTTATGCATGTGGGTATGTATTTTGTAGCTATAATTTAATCTGTGTGTACTTCATCTTTCACTTGCCACATGACCCTGTTATGGCCTGTCTGCTCTCTTTTCTCCTTCATCGCCCTCTCATCTCCCTTCAGCTCCCAGGTCTTTTAGGCGACCCTTCCCGGCTGCTCCTGCAAAAAGTTCTGGGTCTTCGAACTCCGGCGGTGGTTCCTCTGGGGAAGGGGTTGCTGGGAGATTCTCCCACAGGTGAGAGCTTCTGGTTGGGTGGTCAAGCTCACAAACTGCAGGCCTGGTCCAGAGGTATCATTCGCTTACGGCAGAGAAAGACATTTGCAATGCAAATCTTCAAACTGTTTGAAAGCCGCATTATAAGCAGTTCGAGGCAGCCGCTTCAATCAGTATTTTTTCCTTTATGCTTTTATACAGACGTGTGTCTGTTTGTGTGTGCAAAGTCTGGTTTTGGCATTCATCAAAGCATTGAAGACCATTGAAGAGTATGCCTTTGTGCAGGGTCATTTCTATTTGAATATCAGTGCCATGCAGGTGTTACAGTGAGGTAGAAATTGAAATACTAAACTATGGTTTTCCAGAGTATGCACTATATACATTGAAAACGAAAGCTTTTTTATTACAGTAGTTTAACAAAGTTCTCTGGTTCGTAGAGTTGGGCCAAGACTCTTCTCCGCTCACGTCCCAGGGTGGAAACTCTGGGGCTGGAATGGTGTCACATGTACCTGGACGTTCACATGCGAGTTCCATCGCCGAGCAGAATGGAGTCACTGCGACATGCCTGGCTCCGGAGAAACAGCCTGCACCTCCAGGAACCACAGGTGGCTCTGTAAGCTCCCAAACCCAACTGCAAAACTTCCTCCCTGGAATTAACGCACCAAGTCTGGGACCTTTGCTGGGGAGTACAACACACAAAACTCCAGCAAACCACCACAGTTCAAGTGTGCAGACTAGTACATCTGTTACAGTAAGCCTGATTTTCTTTTCTGTTTTTCTGACTTCTCACCTCAAGGCAAAAATGAGAAAATCAGAGACATTTCAGAGCTTTAAATTAAAAGAATTCACTTCAAAATTTTGTTATCATTTACTCACGTTTGTCATTCCAAACCCATATGACTTTCTCTCTTCTGAAGAACACAAAAGGAAAAACTTGTTTATGCAAAAGTGCAAAAATGTTTATGCTGATCTTTTCCGTACAGTGACAACATATAGTGATCAGGGACTGTCTAGCTCAGGCTGACCCATAAGACAACTATGAATATAGTGACTATATTCACAGTATAGCATAGCCTTTAGTGCTATTTTCATTTTATTAAACGGTTACTGCATAATAAAATTTAATTTTATATATATATATATATATATACACTGAACAA